CAAGACCTTCTTTATAAGTTTTAAATGATTTTAGTAAGTAAATTATCTCATCATATTGGCAGATAATATTGCTTGCTGTAAGAAACACGCTTGAAAAAAAAACATTATCTGCCAATATAGTGAGATAATCTTACTAAAATAACTTAAAACTAGTAAAAAGTGTCTTATAAGTTACACAGCCTCATAATAATCTTACAATAGTAATTCTCAAAATAAGAAATATTAGATACAGTGCCTTAAAAAGTGATTTGTCTGGATTGCAAATGATACACAGATTGTTCCAGAAAGTATTATTATTGGAAACCAATATGCTCTTAAAGTAATTTTTTTAAATTAAAATTTTTATTTGCCAGCAGATCTTAAGGCCGAAAAATGCTGCTTGTATAAGTTTTCAACCCCTTCACACTAGTACCTGGTAGAAGCAGCTTTTGCTGCAGTAACAGCTTTAAGTCTTTTGGGCTAAGTTTCTATCAGCTTTGGGAGTGACCTTCACCCAGTCTTCCTGCAGATTTGCTCCAGGTTGGCTGGATGATGCTTGTGGACCACAATTTTCAAACAGAGACACAGATTCTCAATTGGATTCAGATCTGGACTTTGACGTTTTGACTTAGATTATAGAACATCCGTCTTTTTGTTGTTCAAACTCTACTCTTTGGCTTTGGCCTTGTGCTTGGCGTCACTGTCCTGCTGAAAGGTGACGTTTCTCTCAAGCTTTAGTTTTTTAGCAGACTGAAGCAGCTCGTTTTGTAGTATCTCACTGCATTTTGCACCTTCCATCTGTCCTTCAGTTTTAATAAGAGGCCCAGTCCTTGCTGAGGAAAAACATCCCCAAGACAGGATGCTGTCACCCCATACTATACTGTGGGGAAGGTGTTGGTTGAGGAATGGACAGTGCTAGGATTGCACCACATACAGCATTTAGAATTCTGTCCAAAAAGCTCCATGTTTGTCTCATTTGACCACAAAACCTGATCCCGCATTTTAGCTGAGTCACTCTGGTGCTTTCTAGGAAACTCTAGATGTGCTATTATGTGTTTTTCGTCAGTAATGGCTTCTGTCTAGCCGCTCTTCCATAAAGACCAATTGTATGCCGAGCTCTTATATGACTGACCAGTGCACCTTCGTTCAAGGCTCAGCCACTGAACTCTGTAGCTCATTCGGAGTGAGTCAGCCTCTGTGTGTCCTCTTGCACAAGTCCCCTTGCTGAGTTTTGAGAGACGGCCTTGTCAGTGCAGTGCCTGGGTGGTATGATGTAGCTTCCGTTTCCTCACAATTGATCCAACAGCGCTGACTGGAATATGAAAACACTTGGATATTATTTTGTAGTATTCTCCTATCTGGTGCATGTCTATAACTTCATCTCTAATTACCTTAAAATGTGCTTTGGTCTTGATTTCCATTTACAGCGTTCCTTCATATTCACAGTCTGACCAAAGGTACTTGAATTAAGGGGGTCTTTTATCTAGAAAATGGTGAACTTTTTTTAATGATTCACAAGTAGAGGCCAGTTAAAAGCTGACTGTGTCCTCGTTACAGTAATATCTTTCATCTGTGTAAACTTGGAGCTTCCACAGCTCAGGTTAAACACTTATTCAAAGAGCATTTTTCACAGAATATGTTCTGTATAAAACCGATGCCACTTTAAATTCATTCATTTTGAGGGTCAGTCTTTTGAAATAAAATGACAGCACAAAATATCAAAGTGTCATTTGTAATCCAGACAAATCTGATGTCTTTTAAGAGGACTGAATACTTTTGCAAGGCATTGTATATGGACTAGATTTAAGACAACTTCACTTGCCAAGATTTTTTGCAGCAAACACCATGGTTTAAAAAATAATAGAAATAATATAATAAATAATATGATCAAATAATCCAAAATTTAGTTTCAATTCTGCTTTAATGAATTTATTCCTCAAGCAGTGTCTGGACAAACTTTCCACACAGCAGAATGTTAGCCTTCACCTGTTTAATCCTAAAACCCTTTTTCCGTTACACAGAACGTATTGAACATACAACACAAAAAATATTTTTGGCCAATCAAATTTTGTATAAATGTCTATTTGGCTGCATCAAATCATGAATCGATTTGTTGCGCATCTGTTTCTCCTGAGCATGGGTCTCATGGAGTGCTAAATCCCACCAGTGTGTGACTCCAACGTGCCAGATTAAAACTGTTGTAATGTAAAGAATGTAGAGAAGAATAAAGGAGAAAACACTAAATCCTCTCCTGCCTCACACTATACTGAGTTCTTTACCTATTTATAATGATGCCCCATCAGGATTCTAACTATAATCACAGGTTTTAGAGATTTAACCCTGATTTTCAGTCTGATACAGTTATAACAGTAGCTATTGGTTCATGGATTTAATTCTCATTTTCACTGTGATATGATACTAACAGTCACCGACATGGCCATAACTTGCTATGAGGACACAGAGGTTCGGACCACGGAACACTTTTTCAGAAAGTGTTTTTTCACTTGCCTCCATTCCTAAGAGTAAACGTAGAAACAGTGCTATTACGATAATACAGTCCACTCAGGGCCGCAGCCACAGTATCACAGTCCACCCAATCAAATAGAGACGGAATATTTATGATGCCGCATTTCTGGGATAATGAAATTTGATTTCTGTGAGCGCTGTCACTGAATTATGGCCAATCGAAATCTGCCGTTATTTTCTAAACCCTCCAATCACCGCTTAGCAACCATTGCTTTCTGCTATTTCTTCAGCACATTATCAGCACCCATGATGTTCGTGACTAGCGTTAGGACACCGAGGTCCTCTGAAGTTTCTGAGAGTTTTATAAGATTCAGTGTGGAAAAGGTAATGAAACTACACAGTGAGCAGTGAGAGGTTCTCAGCTGACCTCGGAACAGCTGTGGTTCGGCCAGAGATTTAACAGCCCACTCTGCTCATCTCTGTACGAGACGTTACACTACCCTGAGTCCCAGAGTAACTTTGACTTCTTGAGATGTTCAGGTGTGCAGCACACATGCTATAGGCTAATGCATAACATCCCTATGGTAAAAATGTAAGAGTTTATGAGCACAATTTACATTTTAAGCTTGTAAAATGGAAAACTCAATTATGCATGTTTTTATTTGGAGCACTCACAACGTTGCTGGCTAAATCAGCATGTTTTAGTCTAGTTCCAGTCGCTGCTCATTTCAGGCTACAGGCTCCATTGTAGGCTATTTAGTGATTAGATGAGCTTTTTCAGTAATCAATGAGGACAGAGATGTAAAAGAGAGAAGAAGAAAGAGAGAGAAATGAAATAAAATCAATTTTAAATTGTTAATTAAATAAACAGGGTAGGAGTAAAATCAGTTTATGGAACAGTAATAGCAGTTAATGGAAGAATGGAGGGATGGGGAAGGAACAAATGAAATGAAAGTGCATAACAGTTATGGATGGGTAAAAAGGAATGATTTTGTTAAAAAAATGTAAAAAACACTAAAGGAGAAACTTGCAGTTGGGGTGATTCTCATGTTTGACAGTTCTATTATTCACTGTGAAGTGTAGGTCACATTTCTGCTATAAGGACCTCACTAAAATTATGATCTTAGTTACAGCCCTGGTCATTGTCCTTCAAAGACTTATTTCTCATTCTTTACTCTTATACGTCTCTGACAGTGGTCACTGGTTATCTCTGTTTAGTCTAAATATTCCTGTCTAATGACTTTTTTCAGTCTTGATTCCTCTTAAGGTTCCTTCCTTAGGGAGTTTTTCTTGCCAGCTGCTTTGCTCACTTGGGGCTTGGACTCGGATTCCTGTAAAGCTGTTTTGTGCCAACATTCGCAGTAAAAAGCACCATGTACATAAATTTTGAGTTGAATAAAAGCAGGTAAAATACAGAGGGAAATCTGTTCAAACCCGAATGTGAAATCTGAACCCAGGTCTCGTCCTGTTCAGACAAATATTGCAAGCTCTACTTTGGACATCACTGATGGGGTGTGTTGTGAGTTTGAACTCTAGGGGGCAGAGTGGAGTCACAGTGCATGTTGAGCAGGTGGCCCCATGGAGGTGCTTTGCTCCACTGCCCACAACCTGCCCTGAACCCTCCTTCACCACAACAACTGCCTGTCAGAAAGAAATGGAGCACTGCAGCAGAGCAGCGCCGAGAGAACATCAGTGGAAGCAGGACTTTTACAGAGGGTATGGCTCTGTGTGTGTGTGTGTGTATGTGTGTGTGTGTGTGTGTGTGTGTGTGTGTATCTATTATATCTAAGTGCATCATCAGCTTCTGTGAGTGCATCTGAGGGTGCTTCAGTGTGTGTGTGTGTGTGTTTTAATGCATAATTAAGAAGGTCAGGCTTAATGAAGCACTGTGGAATAAAGTTCAGGATATCCCTAGGCTCTGTTTACCCTGTTAGAACCCCACTGAGAGAGAGAGAGAGAGAGAGAGAGAGAGAGAGAGAGAGAGAAAGAAAGGAACGGAATAAAAGGAGGAGAGAAGAGAAGAGAAGAGAAGAGAAGAGAAGAGGAAAACAGGGATAGTGAGAAAGATGGCAGGTGGCGAGAAAGAAAAGAATAGAGACAGGGATAGTGAGAGAGAGGGGATGAAGAGAAGAGAAGAGAAGAGAAGAGAAGAGCAGAGAAGAGAAGAGAAGAAAAGAGAAGAGAAGAGAAGAGAAGAGAAGAGAGAGGTAAGAAGGGAGAGTGAAAGAGACAGATGAGTGGAGGGGAGAGAGAGCAGACAGAGAGAAAGAGAGGATGGAGAAAAGAGATAGAGAGGAAAAGAGGAAGAGAGAGAGATTAACAGCGAGGATAGTGAGAGAGGGGGATGAAGAGAAGAGAAGAGAAGAGAAGAGAAGAGAAGAGAAGAGAAGGATTGTGGGTAGTGATTCAGAGTGAGGAAGAAAAGAGAAATGAGAAAAAACATTACCTCCATATTAAGTATTCCATTAACTGTTTTGGCAACAACTGTTCATTAAAATTCATGCCAATAAAGTTATCTGAATTTGAGGAAGAGCAGTGGAGAGCAGAGGAGTTACCTGCAGGGTGGAGTCACTGTGGAGCTCCCGGCCTGCGAAGATGACCCTCAGCTGATCAGGCTGGACGCCCTGCAGCCGGCCCACCGTCTCCTTCAGATCCGCCACGCTCGCCCCTCGCTCCAACTCCACAGGGAAACCATGACTGGAGTTAAAGCGCACATACACTGACAGAGAGAGAGAGAGAGAGAGAGAGAGAGAGAGAGAGAGAGAGAGAGAGAGAGAGAGAGAGAGAAAGAAAAGGTTTGCAATAAATTATCACATTAAATAGAAAGCAGAATTTTGGCACTCAAACCGCTCAGCTGTCTAAAACATCTTTGGATAAAAACAAATGAAAATGTGGCTTTAATAATAGTTTGGTAAAAAAACGAAACTGTCCAGCAGAGACAGGGACTCAAGTCAGCCACTCAGACTCAGCTTATGCACTAACTGACTAACATCTTCACTCAGACATGAGAATTACAGCTCGTGAAATTTCATTCTAACATGTACGTCTTTGTACGGTTTGCAATTCCGCTGTCACGCTACCCATTTCCCCTTAAGTCCTCTTCACACCTTTGAACTCCAGCTCCCATAATGCATCGAGTCCTGATGCCGCACAGATCCTCATCTCCTGAACTGTAATCACTCTCACCTGTTCTCATTAGTTCTGCTTGTATATCGTCGCTGTCTAAAGATAAATATACATATATATACATATATGTTTACAGTTGTGCTCATAAGTTTACATACCCCGGCAGAATTTGTGATTTTCAACTATTCTTTTATTCATGGTTAGTGGTTCGGTCAAGCCATTTATTATCAAACAATTGTTTTTGCCCTTTTTTAAATCATAATGACAACAGAAACTACCCAAATGACCCTGTTCAAAAGTTTACATACCCTGGATGTTTTGGCATGATAACATACACACAAGTTGACACACACAGGTTTTAAATGGCTACTAAAATTAACCATCCTCACCTGTGATCTGTTTGCTTGTAAATCAGTGTGTGTGTATAAAGAGTCAGTAAGTTACTGGGCTCCTGACAGACCCCTGCATGTTTCATCTGGTGCTGCCACTGACGTTGTTAAATTATGAGACATTAGGAAAGCAAAAGAATTATCAAAGGATCTGCAGGAGAAGATAGTTGAACTTTATAAAACAGGAAAAGGATATAAAAAGATATCCAAGGAATTGAGAATGCCAATCAGCAGTGTTCACACTCTAATTAAGAAGTGGAAAATGGGGGATTCTGTTGAAACCAAGCCAAGGTCAGGTAGACCAACAAAAATTTCAGCTACAACTGCCAGGAAAATAGTTTGGGATGCAAAGAAAAACCCACAAATAACATCAGCTGACATACAGGACTGTTTCAAGATGCACAATAACGAGGCACTTGAAGAAAAATGGGCTGCATAGTCGAGTCGCCAGAAGAAAGCCCTTACTACGCCAATGCCACAAAGCAGCCCGCTTACAATATGCCAAACAGCACAGAGACAAGCCTCAAGATTTCTGGAACAAAGTTATTTGGAGTGATGAGAGCGAAATTGAACTTTTTGGCCACAACCATGAACGCTACATTTGGAGAGGAGTCAACAAGGCCTATGATGAAAAGTACACCATCCCTACTGTAAAACACGGTGGTGGATCGCTGATGTTTTGGGGATGTGTGAGCTACACAGGCACAGGGAACTTGGTCAAAATTGATGGCAGGATGAATGCAGCATTTTATCAGAAAATACTGGAGGAAAATTTGCACTCATCAGCCTGGAAGCTGCGCATGGGACGCACTTGGATGTTCCAACACGACAATGATCCAAAACACAAGGCCAAGTTAACCTGTCATTGGCTACAGCAGAAAAAAAGTGAAGGTTCTGAAGTGGCCATCTCAGTCTCCTGACCTCAATATCATTGAGCCACTTTGGGGAGATCTCAAACGTGCAGTTCATGCAAGACAGCCCAAGAATTTGCAGAAACTGGAGGCGTTTTGCCAAGAAGAATAGGCAGCTTTACCATCTGAGAAAATAAAGTGCCTCATCCACAACTACCACAAAAGATTTCAAGCTGTCATTGATGTTAAAGGAGGGAATACATGGTATTAAGGACTAGGGTATGTAAACTTTTGATCAGGGTCATTTGGGTAGTTTCTGTTGTCATTATGATTTAAAAAAGGGCAAAACAGTTGTTTGATAATACATGGCTTGACCCAACCACTAACCATGAGTAAAAGAAAAGTTGTTGTACTATCATTATTATTCTCTGAAAAAATAAAAAAAAATCACCAATTCTGCCAGGGTATGTAAACTTATGAGCAAAACTGTATATATCAATTTTTTGCGATTTTCACTTTTCTACCTGATTTGAGCACAGCAGCCATTCTTTACACTGTGTGAAATGCACCAAAAATCTCTTTCCATTGACTGACATTAAAAGTAAAGAACATTTTTGCCCTCTGCTGTAAAGTTACTATTTTGGAGATACATGTTTTTCTTTGGAATTTCGTTTTGGTCACTCATTGCTTAGTATTGCCATTTGCCTTGTCTATTGCGTACTGAGCATTTCTCTGACCATTTTTTGGCCCTTGTTTACCCTGTCAGATTTTCCTTTGTACTTTGAATGGTTTTGGTGTTTGTTTATCTGGCTGCTGACCCTTGCTTGTTTATGGATTTCGGTTTCCTAATGTACCTGTTTGTTGCTCTCTTGGTTCTGACCTGGCCTGGATTACTGACCACCCCCTTGCTTTGCCCTGCTGTCAATAAATCTCACTCATTTTACTTCCGCGAGCCTCTGGCTCGTCTGCCTAACGTGACACCTGCAGCTCACAGCGGCATCAGGTTTGATACAGCTTCAAATAATTTAAGCCTTTTTTCTAGAAAACCTTCAGTCTTATGGACAAAAGGAAGCATTACATGTGGTCAATGCAGCATTTGTAGGAAAGAGGCAAAACAACCTGAAGTGGTTGGCTAGCAGGTAGGACAACAGGTAGCTGGCATGTAGGACAGCTAACTGACTACAATTGCTAATCTAGCTGAAGCTTTAGTGAGTTACAGATCACATTCCTTTACAGGGGACCTATTATGCTCATTTTCAGTGTTCATAATTAGATTTTTGGTGTCTACTAGATTAGATTTACATGCTTCAATATTCCAAAAACTTTTTATTTTTCTCAAACTGTAAATTTATTTTCACCCTCTTTCTAAAACGCTTTATTAGAGCTCCCAATGAGCACTGTGTGCTCTGATTGGTCAGCTCGCCCACTCTGTTCTGATTGGTCAACCGCCAGAAAAGTTCTGCCCCTGTCTTGCATTTCTCTCTTGAGCAGCTGTAACAGTTTAAGCCAGAGTCCGAGCCTGTACACTCTCAGAATAACAGGTACTAACCTGTCACTGAGGTAGTGCCCCTCTTGTCACTGGGGTGGTACCATCAAGGGTACATCTCAGTACCTTTAGTCAGGGAATATAATTGTACCATAAACCATTGAAATTATTTTTATAAGTTGTACTGACTCCACACACCCCGTCTCGTCTCCAGGCTTTTTATCTTAGTGTTCTGTTTTAAAATATTAGATTATGAAAAGGTACAAATACGTTCTTTTCACCTGGAAAAACTGATTTCAGGTTCGCAATTGGACCTTAAAACCACTGTTGTACCTTTGAGGGAACACTTACATTGTCTGTACCTTGCTGAACGAGAAATGTACCTGCACAGAACCTTTATTTCTAACAGTGAAATTCAGGTCAGCGTCTTCTTGACATGGCTACAAAACTGAACAAACTCTATCTGGCCTCCAGTATTTGCTGTGCCTTGTGTGCAGGGCATGGCAAGCTTGCCGGTAGGCGGGCAATAAGGATTATGTTACAGGATTGCGTCATCTTGTAACAGAAAAAAAGGCCTGGAATTCTACTAAGGCATATCAGGCAGCTGAGAAAAGTGGTTTCTTTGGGAGAGAGATACTACTTCTAGTGTGTACTTTGATCTTTGTAACTTTGCAGACCGTTTACACGCACGAAAAGTTGCAACACACTAAAGGAAAGGGAAAAACTGGAGAAGCTTGAGACGTAGTAAACCTTCAGCTGGATTAGCCATTATAATAGCAGATTTTCTTTAAACAGCACCTTTACTATTTACTCCCACTGCAGTTCTGCAGAAAATGTTCTTCTTTGAAGCCTTGTCAAACCTGACAGGAGTTTATTTGGGTTTACTTTTGTAAAATGTAATGCCTGTGGCTAATAACGGCACTAAAACTCTCTAATAAAGACTCTAGACTTGACTCACACTTACACCCCCGAGATTCAGAACTCGACTCTGACTCACATGAAGCGACATCTCTGCTGTCAAATCATTATTTAAACAAAACCTACTCTTCATAGCAAGGAAGACACTTGCATGAACATGAGGAGTATTGCAAAAATGCTGCTACAGTATATACAGCCAGAGTGAACAGCTTTACGGAAGATGGTAGGAAGTTTTATGTAAGTAAAACTCTTTGCTGATATTCTTTCCTACATCACTAAAAGATATACGGTAAGAATCAAAGATTATCTACCACTTTATTCTGAGATTACTCTTACAAAGCGTTTATGAATGGCTTAAAATTAGTTTATTAAAGGTTATTAAGTAGGTCATAAACACCTTTCTCATTAATAAGCAGTTAACAAATATAAAAGGGCAACAGTGAGCAGTTGAGATGAATATGAATATCTGATGAAGCTCACAGGTTTAATGCTGACTGATGAAGAAGTCAGAAAGCAAGGGACAGATCACGGTCTCACATGGTCACCCTTCTCACCTCGATAACTTTAAAACACCAGAAATAACAGGAAAAAAAACTAGTCCTGAAAAATAATGTTAATAAACAGTTCATGCTTGTTTCTGTGCATTTTGAACAGCATTTGAAAACAAAATGAATTCTAAATTACTGTGCCATAGCCTATTATTTCCTCCCAAGTTATAATTCTGTACATTGGCTTTTAATTATTTTAAATATGGGGTCAGGGTATGGGCTGAGGGACCTTTATTTAATTACCTAGGCAATTGGTTAATCTGCAATGGACTGTCCTCAGTCTTTGGACCATCTCAGGCCTTGTAGTGCCAGGCCTCTTAAGGGCCCTAGCAGTTAGAGACCCCTGGCGGTTAAAGGCCCCTGGGTACTGCCCCCACTGGCCTGGTCAGTAATCCATCCCT